AATCTCTGTAAAACTGAGTTTACTGATCAGAGAGAGAGAGAGAAAAAAGGGAAGAGAAAGAGAAAGGGAGAGAGAGAGAGAGAGAGAGAGAGAGAGAGAGAGAGAGAGAGAGAAAGAGAGAGAGAGAGAGAGAAGGAGAGAGAGAGGGGGAGGGAGCAAGGAAAGCGAAGAAGGCCCAGAGATAAGACATTCTTGAGAGTGGAGAGCAGAGGAAATTTAGAGATAAGAGATTTGGGGATCATTTGTACAGTGGCAGAAATTGTTACAGTTTGCAAGAATTTGGAAATCAAGCATGCCATCTTTAGCTGCTGTGGGATGGTCTGTATGTCAAGTGTGTTGCTGATTGGTCAATAAATAAATCACTGATTGGCCAGTGGCCAGGCAGGAAGTATAGGCGGGACAAGGAGGAGAATAAAGCTGGGAAGTGGAAGGCTGAGTCAGAGACACTGCCAGCCGCCACAATGACAAACAGCATGTGAAGATGCCGGTAAGCCACGAGCCATGTGGCAAGATATAGATGAATGGAAATGGATTAATTTAAGCTGTAAGAACAGTTAGCAAGAAGCCTGCCACGGCCATACAGTTTGTAACCAATATAAGTCTCTGTGTTTACTTGGTCGGGTCTGAGTGGCTATGGGACTGGCAGGTGAGAGAGATTTGTCCTGACTGTGGGCCAGGCAGGAAAACTCTAGCTACATTTAGCCATTGATTGAGCTGTATTGAGACTACATCATTTGCAGTAAAACATAATGAAATCTCTGAGTTCAAGGAGGAGGAGATTAGAGAAGTAGAGGAAAAGGTCACAAACAGGAACTTAGCCAGAGGGAGGATTCTAATTAGCTACAGGAGAAAACTGGGAGCATGCAGGGAGGGAGAGCAAGGGTGGGAGAGAGAAGAGTTAGTGTCCCGGTGACAGGAATTTCAATCCAGGGCATCCTCCAAGTGGACTGAGACTTGTCGGGGAGACGTGTCCCAAATCATAACTGATGGGCATACTTTTCCAAGTGATGGAGACCCAACAGGATGAGAGAAGTTGCCTGGCTCACCAGTGTGACTTTTGCAGAGTCAGAGTAAGAGGGAGGAGTAGTCGTAGTCCAGGAGCCAACAGAGTCAGAGCAGGAAACTGTGGGGTGACACTTGCCAGGTCCCAGGAGAGGGCAAGCAGAAGGAAGAAGGAATTGAAGAGGTGGACTCTGTAGGCAAACATGGTGGGTGGCAGAAGCCAGCAAAAACAATGATCCATACCTGAGGGGAGTTCAGTCAACAGTTTGGTTCAGTTAAGAGAGACTGGGCTCCTTGGAAAGGGGCTCAAAAGCCATTGTGTGTTTTGGCACCAGATGTGTAAACTGTCAACATACTGCTCCATGATACGGTTAAGGGGAAGGTTTTATTGCAGACATGAGAGAGTAAACATCCAGAGCAGAGAGAGAAAGTAGCAGGCTGAACATGGTCGTCTGACTGAACCTGGCTATGAGAAAAGCAGAATCAGAGCAGGGATGGGGGTGCATTGAGACAGGGAGAGTATTGGAAAACAGAGAGAAGGTGATGAGGGAGACAGAGAGCTGAAGACACAGAGTGAGGAAGAGGGAGCACATCCAAAACTGTAGGGTCCTAAGGAGAATGAGCAGCTGGGAGGAGGGAAGCCCATGAGCTGGAAGAGTTGAGGGCAGGGGAGTAGCTGAGAAGAGCCTAAGATGCTAGCATTGTCTCTGAAATGTGTAGCAGGCATTTGAGCTATTGCGGGAGCCAGGAGGCCAGTATGCACTTTGGTATGCTAATGGTCACCACAGAGAGCCATTTGTCCCTTCTGCAAGTGATAGAGAAATGGGTCTTTTTGGTAGAGGGGAACTGGCTTCAGAAGTTCTTGAGGAAACTTTGTCCAACCACCAGAATTTGGGGAAATGGAGTTTCCTATGGACCTCACACCCTACTCTAGCCTTCATCCTTAAAAACCTCTATTCTCTCAAGTAACCATGGGCCCAGATTCCTGAAACTGAAGATATGTTTATGCTGTGATTTTTATGTTTTGTTTTTGATCATTTTTTACATAATACATACACAAACATACTTTTTAATCAGCCTGCTTCCATCTTAGGCTTAGAAGCCATCTTATAGTAAAGACAAAATAGGTTGATTCCTGTTTGTGATTAAATCTGTTTCTTAAGGATTGGGCTATGCCCCACCTGTAACCTTAAATAAATGGTTCCATACTGCCTGTTCCAGGAAACAGAAACCATGTTTTTCTTTTTCAAAAGGTTATGATCACCTTGTTATGACCTCCTTTTTATGATCACCTTGTTGTGACCACCTTGTTATGACTACCTTGTTATAACTACTTTGTTGTGACCACCTTGTTATAGCCACCTTATTATGACCACCTTGTTATGGCCACCTTGTTATGACCACCTTGTTATAGCCACCTTGTTGTGAACACCTTGTTATGGCCACCTTGTTATGACCTCCTTTTTATGTTTACCTTGTTATGACTGCTTTGTTATGACCACCTTACAACCATGTCTTTATTTCAGGAGGTTGTTATGACCAACTTGTTATGCTTATGTTCTGCTTCTGTACCTCCCCCCATTGGCCTGCCACCCCCCCCATTTGGAAATCCCCTATTCCTGAACTATAAAAACCTTTGTGTTACCCATGTCCAAGGCTGATTGGTCTCTTGAACCCTGCCTTTAGGGAGAGACAGTCTATTACACGAATAGAAAAGTTTGCTTTATTAATGTGGCCATGATGATTTTGGGTCAATGGTCTTTCTCCTCACATCTGTGGGGTTAACAGTACCAACAAAGAGAGCTATGTCTTTGAGTTCAACAACAAAAAACATAAAAAAATCAAAGGACAATTACAGCTGTTGCCACGGAAGAGCTGCTGAGGTCATTCTGCTGGGTCTTCATGTGTGAAGAGGTGGTTGCTCCTCCTGAAGGACACACTTTTCCCAGCTGACAGTTGCTTTAGGTTAGAATGACTTATATCTGTGCCTTTAAATATGAAATATATTTATATATCTAAATGCAATCATTTAAAAGATTTTAAAGTTATATTTGACCTCTATTACCTCAAATTAATAATCAAATGAGTTTTTAAAGGTCCATTAGGATAAAAGATAAAAATTACTTTAATGAATTAAAATTCTAAAACTGTAAATATTTTTTTAATAAATATGAATTTGTAATAAATAAAATGAATATGTTTAAAAAAGAATAACTAAAACTTTCACGAGTTAAAAAAAGTCTGAGTATGTTGTTTAAGGTATATAAAAATTATGAAAAGACTTAGGGATAATATATATGATATTAAAATTTCAAGGTCTGTGATTAACAGTCACAAAAAACTGGCTTTAATGTACATCATATCAAAGTTTATTATAAAATATCTGGCTTTCATGAAGGGAAAAAGAGAATTTGGGTTCTGTATCCTTGTCCAGGACCAGACTTAGCAAGGCCTGTCTGAGACTGGAATAAGTCCCTTGAAGGAGTCAAGATTGAAGTTTCTGGGCACCTGACACTTCCCTGGGCTGTGATTATCATTGTAGGGTAAAAAGAGCCAGTGAAAGAATACCCTGTCCCTGAGACCAGAGCCAAAGAAATACACCCTGCCCCTAACCAAGTTCAGGACTTGAAATCCCACCAATCCCTGAACTTGGCTCAGAGTCTGACCAGGGTTTCCCCAGCAAAGTGTTAACAGCCCTTGGTCTGGGAATGGTTTCCTTAATGCAAGTGTAAGAACTCTGCTCCAGCAGGGGAGGGGTTTACAGCTCTGCTCTGCTCCAGCAAAAGAGTCATTACAGGAAACCTCACTCAATAGATTTATTGGGAGGGAAAAATCCAGCAGAGTGTTTGTCTCTGCTAGGGTGAAAAGCAGTGACAAACTGGACAGGATACAGAGCTTATATAGTTTCTTGGGGGCGGAGCTTTCCAGCTCTGGGAAACCATTGGCCATCCTGCCCCACCAAGTTCCCAGGAGTCTGTGATTATACACTATGCTAGGACAGCCAAGGACACTTCCTCCCAAAGTCAGTGTCCTTTAGACATGAAAGTCCCTCCAATGCATCTCCAGATGTTCATCTTTCCAGGGACTCAACTAGATAACACACATTTTGCACACACAGAGACACACAGACAGTCACACACAGATATACACAAAGACACATACACACAGAGACACAGACACAAACATACTATACAGACACACAGATACATAAGCACACACACACAGACATATGCTCAGCACATGGACACACACACAACACAGAAATACAGATACAAACACACACAGAAACACACAGGCAACACACACAGAAATACACAGACATACAAGGACACACACTCACACAGAAACACATGCACAGAAACACACAAACACACATTACACAGATACTCATAGGCACACACACAGACATACACACACTAACACACCACACAGACACAGACACACATACAGAAACTCACACAGCATGCAGACACACACAACACACAGACACACAAACACAGACACACACACACAACACACAGAAACACAGATACAAACACACACAGAAACACAAACAGAGAAAGACATAGACAACACAGACACACACTCATACAGAAACACATGCACAGAAACACAAACACATTTTATACATACACACATAGGCACACACACACAGACACATACATTCACACACCACACAGACACACACACTCACAGAGACATACAAAGGCACAGACACACACACTCACATACCACACAGATACACAGACACACATAGACATACACACAGAAACATACACATACCACACAGACACTGACACGCATACCATACAGATACACACACACAAAGACACACATACACAGAGACACACATACACAGAGACACATACACACAGAGACACACACACATTCACATACCACACAGACACATAGACACATATTTACACGCCCCAAATTCCTTCATGCTACACCCCACAGCACAGGGACATAGGAGGTCCCTCTCCCTGCCCATCACTCACCCGCACAGGTGCACAACAACGCCTCCAGGAGCAGGTACTTTAGTGACAGCTGGACTAGGACTAGGGCTCTGGGTTCCAAGGACCACATCGTCTTCATCTGCCTTCATGAATCATCTGAGTTCTCTGCAGATTCAAAGCCAGACACGCTTCTCTTCTGGGTCCACCCAGCCCCGGATGCCAACAACTGAAGTGTGTCACAGAGGGTGGAGCAGATCTGGCAGCAGGTGAACAGCTGGCTGGTGGGAGAACAGCTGGTGTGGGGCTCAGTGGAAGGTGAGAGTCGCTGATACAGTGAGAATGCTGTGGGGTCAGGCGGCCCTGATCCAAATCCTCTACTTCCTCTCCCTGAAAGCATTAAAGCTTTCCTTTACAGCTATCCCCACTGCATCTCTGCAATAAACAGGAAGGTTTCTTCTTCTTGACTGTTTATTTGTTTGTTTGTTTGTTTGTTTGTTTGTTTTTTGAGACAGGGTTTCTCTGTGTAGCTTTGGAGCCTGTCCTGGAACTCAGTCTGTAGACCAGGCTAGCCTCGAACTCACAGAGATCTGCCTGTCTTTGTCTCCCGAATGCAGGGACTAAAGGCGTGTGCCACCACCTCACGCTCTTCTTGATGTTTTAATCAGGAGTCTGGAATACATATAAACCCCTTATCAACCAGAAGCCTTGTTTCATTATCCACTCCCCATAGCAAGATTCCATAGACCACTTAAATGTAAATACATACGCATGCCCACTCAGCAATCAGGAAATTCCTGCTTGGGATTCCCCTTCTGCAACCACAAAAGCAAATGATGTCAGCTCCTTGTTCATAACTTACTGAGAATTAACAAAAATTCCCATGAATGACCTTTGGGTTTAGTTATGCTGCTGTCTGGATTGGGTTTAGCCCCTGGGACTGAGCTCACCACCCACTGCTGCTGAGCAGGTCCTGCCCAGCCTGAACTTAAGTATTTTTAAAGCAGAAAAATAAAGTAAAAAAAATATTTTATACACATGCACATGCATACATACACACACACACACACACACACACACACACACACACACACACACACACACACACACCCAGGAGAGACACTAGGTAGTTAATATAATTTCTCACTAGTTTAGAAACTCAGGGAGTAAGGGTGGTACTGCACACCTTTAATCCCAGAATGTTTTTAATAAATGAATTTATTTATTTATTACGTATTTATGTGTCATTTATTTTATTTCCCTGGCACACCCATCTCCTGGGGAAACAGAGAAAGTCACGAAGCCAGCACAGCTGCTTGACAAAGCTCCAGCAAAGCTGAGCCACACACTATGATTGATAGTTGACCTGAGGCCCTTTACTTTTGATTGGAATCTCTGTGTGTTACACTCTTGGTGGGCTATTACTGTAATGCTTCACCCATGTCTTTTCTGGGGAAATTGTTTCTGTATCTTCCTGAAGAAATCTTGAATGTACTACCCCCTGCTTTTAGGGAAGTAACCTTAGTTGATCACACTTGGGAGTCTTCTCTGTGCCTTGGAGATTGGTATCTGCTCATATGCAAACTCAAGAACAAATAGAACCTTATAACTTCAGAGGAGGCTGACAAGGTTGAGCAGGATAGGAGAATTGACAGCAGATCAGTGTAGCTGGACTTTCTCCGGTCCTTCCTTGCCCAGCAGTCTGGACGAGTCACTCCCACCCAAGGTCCCACAGTCTCCTATAAAATAATTATTCAGAGGCTTATATTAATTGCAAACTGTATGGCCTATGGCTTCAGCTTCTTGCTAGCTAGCTTTTTCATATTAAATTAACCCATTTCCTTTTTTTCTTAAGAAATTTTTTATTCATTTTACATACCAATCACAGATCCCCCTCTTTCCTCCTCTTTCCCCTACAACCTTCCCCACCCAACCCTCATTCTCTCCTACAAGAAGGTAAGGCCACCCATGGGGAGTCAGCAGAGCCTGGTACATTCTACAGAGGCAGGTCAAAGCCCCTCCCCCTGCATCAAGGCTGTTCAAGGTGTCCCACCATAGGTAATAGGCTCCAAAAAGCCAGCTCATGCACCAAGGGTGGATCCTGATCCTACAGCCAGGGGCCCCTTAAACAGATCAAGCTACACAACTGTTTTGGTTATGCAGAGGTCCTAGTCCAGGCCTATGGAGGCTCCACAGGTGTTGGTCTAAATTTCATGAGTTCCCACTAGTTTGGTTTGGTTGTTTCTGTAGGTTTCCCCATCATGAGCTTGATGCCCTTTGCTCGCAGAATCCTTCTCTCTCTTTGACCGGATGGGCTGGAGGGATAGCTCAGCCATTAAAGGCTAGCTCACAACCCAAAATTAACCCATTTCTATAAATCTATATGTTGCCACATGGCTGTGGTGTTGGTCTGCTGACATCTTGTAGCTCCTTGGATGGTGTGTTCAAGTCTATCCCAACTCCACCCTTCTTTTCTCTGTATCTCTGCTTGGATTTCCTGCCTGGCTGTAAGCTTTCTTGCCATAGGCCCAAACAGCTTTATTTATTATCCAATAGGAGCCACACATATGCACAGTATGCAGAAAAACATCCCATAGCAGATCAGAGCACAGAACTCCTTTTACAGTATGCTTAGAACTTCTTAGAACATAATCTATAAGATGAAAGACCACATATATTAAGCCTATAAAGAGAATTCAGCAATAAAAGCTAGAATGACTTGGATAACATAATAGCACATACAGGTGGTGTAAGAATGACATAGGATATAAGAAGAGTAAGGTTAAATTAGAATTTGTCATTCCTAAAAAGATTGATTTACGTCAAGTAGCTATGCTGTTAATTTAGAAACACAAGAATTCTTTTATTTAGCAAATTCCTATTAGGCTATAAATTAAATATTATAAAGAACTGAATAATAGCTACAGCAGTTCCTAAGCCTGAGTAAATTCTCAGGCTTAGGGTAATTTGCAAGTAATATGATTGACCATTAAAAGTTAATAAAATACTGCTCAAAGCATGGTGATTCACCTGGACTGAATCAGATGTTTTCTAAAATATCTTGAAACCTCAAACTATTGCCAGCCTGAGAACAGGATGCTCTATTATGCTGTTTAAGCTGAAATGATTAGTAGAATTCTAGCAATAGGGATATAGAATAGATAATAAAATCTGTTCTATCTATACTTAAACTATAACCCTGGGCATACCAGAGAAGTATGCCTGGGACAAAATGAGGCCATCTGTATCTCTTTAGAAATCTTGAATCTGTTCAATAAAGAAATTTTCTGATTGCTAGTCAGTCAGCTTTGCAAAGTCTTCCCATCTGGGTTTCTGACTCAACCTTCCTGTCTTCTGACCCTAATATCTTTTCTGGAATCTGTTCACTGCAGAGGGCCCTCTCCCAACTGCCACAATTCCCCTGCCTCCTCTCCGCCCAGTCCCTCTCCATTACCTCACCTCTGCTCATCCCCATCCACTCCCCCTCCATTTCTGTTTAGAAAAGGGCAGGCCTCCCATGAGTATCAACAAAACATGGCATATCAAGTTGCAGTAAGACTAAGCACCTGTCCATGTATTAAGGTTAGGCAAGGTGACACAGAATGAGGAATAGGGTGACACAAGCCTGTAAAAGAGTCCAAGACAGCTCCTGCTCCCACCGTTAGGAGTTCCACAAGAGGACCAAGCTACACAACTATAATATGTATGCAGAGGGACTAGGTCAGTTCCATGCAGGCTCCCTGGTTGTCAGTTCAGCCCCTCTGAGCCCAGGTTAGTTGATTCTGTGAGTTTTCTTGTGGCTTCCTTGACCCTCTGGCTCCTACACTCCTTCCTCCTCCTCTTCTGCAGGATTCCCTGAACTCCACCTACTGTTTGGCTGTGGATCTGCCTCTCTTAGGACAACTGGGATAGGCACCAATCTGGTCACAGGAGATGGCCAGTTCAGGCTACCTGTCTGCTATTGCTAGGAGTCTTCTCTGGAGTCTTCCTGGGAGATTCCCTCATGCCAGGTTTTTACCTGACCCCGAAATACCCACTGCCCTCCCCTGTCTCTCCTGCCCCTGCTCTGATCCCCTCCCTCCTGTTACGCAGCCCTTCCATCTGCTTTCAGGCCACATGATTCCTTACAGCACTCCTTAGACCAGTGGTTCCCAACCTGCTTAATACTTCAACCAGTTAATACAGTTCCTCCTGTGGCGGTGTTGCCAACCACAAAATTATTTTCACTGCTACGTCATAATTGTAATTTTGCTACTGTTGCAAATCACAGTGTAAAGATCTGTGTTTCTCCATGGTCTTAGGTGACTCTTGTGAAAGGGTGGAGAACCATTGCTTAGACATTATAGATTGTTCCCTTCTCTCTCATGATCCCATTTCTACTTTCATGTTTCTCACACACAAATGCACATTTAGTGCACACAGGCACACACATACATATATATCCACATACATATACACACAGGTGCATTTACACACACACACACACGCACACACGCACACACACCCCATGCATGAGTTTATATCTAGATAGCTTGTATGAGAGGAAACATGCCATTTCGTCTTTCTGAGCTGGACTTGTGTGACATACTGGCTCCAGTGCTTTCAGGAACGTAGGTGTGACTGACAAAGTGCCTGACCATTTGTAACCCAAAGTGTGTTCTTTGAATCTTTCACCAACAGCTGACATGTTCATCATAAGCCAAGTTCTCAAGCCATGACACATACACTGAGCATCAAAGAGCCTGAATGTGTATCTGAGGCAGTTATTTGGATATTATATGCCTTATGACATCGGGAAACACGCCTATTGTTAGTGTGTATGTGTGTTTTATTCACCAGTGTTGATGTGTCCCGGCCAGAGGGATCTTCAACAAAGAGCCCAGGAGGGGGATGGCGAATGAAAGGGACAAGAGACACAAAGAATTGACAGCAAGACAGGTACTCTGAACAAGCTGCAAAATTTTATTTTTCTCAGGCAGGTTTCACAGCAAGTAGAGCGAGGAGCTTTCTTTGGGAAAAAAATCAGGGGACTGTCGGGTTGCTAAGCAACCCAACCAAGCAACCGAACTGCAAAATATTCTTACTAGTGGTCACTGTAGCAGAAAGATAAGAAATGTTATTTTGTAATAACTCAGGACTTCTCCAGGCATGTGACAAGTTTCTGGTAAGGGGCTCAATACTGGAGAACAGAAACTTAACTCAGGCAGGCAATCTCCCTCTTACAATTGTCCCCGGCATTCGTGTGTGTGTGTGTGTGTGTGTGTGTGTGTGTGTGTGTGTGTGTGTGTGTGTGTGTGTGTAGGACATAGGGAGATCATGTGGAGGGCAAGGCCAACTTCAGGTGCTTCTGCACTGCCTTTCAATTTATTTCCCATTGAATCTAAAGTCTCCATTTTGTCTACACTGGCTGGCTGTGACCTCTCCAGGCTCTCTCTGCCTCTGCTCCACTCTTACACTGATGTTACAAGTTCTAACACCCATCCTAACTTTTATGTAGTGGGAATCTAATAGAGTCACTGTGTCTAGGATAATATTAGCATGTACTAGTTGTTTTTGCTACATCTAGAGTAACAGTAAAATGTATTAGTTGTTTGTTAGAGGTAGTAAGACCTTGAGGAAATTCTTGTAGAGAGCAGTGATTGTTTTCTATGATTTATAGAGTTGTTTTTCTGAGGATGTTTTCCATCTGTTGCATGACTAAGTCACAAGACTAATCAGGCACAGATGAAACATCTTGCATTATTGGGTCCTGCAAACAGTGCACAGTAAGGACTGAAGTGGCATTGGTGATGACTTCCTTCAGAGAACACAGAGAGTAGATCAAAGGGACCTTGGTATGAGGAACTCGTAGGAACCAAAAAACAACATTTGTGTACAGTCAGTAAATATGCTCTGGATGGAAGTTCAAGGTTCAGTTCACAGTTCACTGTTCCTCCCTCTGTTGCCAGAGAGCTTAAAATTACATTCTGGAGTGACTTTCCTTCAAACGCTCCACACAACACAAACCCTCACCCTTTTACATGGAATGGGGCTCCAAATAGGTCCTCTCCTTGTGCAGCAAGCATGTTACCTTCTGAGCCACATCCCCAGGCCCAAAATGTCCATGGTTCCTCACGGTAGAGCCAAACTTACCGTTACCATGGCCGTTTTCAGTGTTGTCTTTCGCTTCAGCTGTAGTAAGAACTCAGCATTTGGGTGCTTTGTGCAATGTTCTTCACTTCACTCCCACCAGCAGACAGGGTAACATTCACCCCAACTTTCACGGCATACTTTTTCCTGATAATCTTACTTCTAAGTTTTCTGAAGACACATGGAATCCTGCACTAAAGCCATTTTGAACTGCCTGGCTTTCTCTCCAGCTCTGCAACGGACAGCTTTTGAGATGAGTGCTGTCATCAATGTCATCAGCAGAGTTTGTGTGACATTCTGACAGGGATGGGGGATCCCACACCATCACTGAAGTCTTAAATAGGTCACACAACCCAGGACAGGTCAGAACCCTGACAGGTCGCCTTTAAAGTACTTTCCCTCTTTGATGCAGTCTGAGCTTCTGTGAGAACAGAGAACAGAGCTTCCTCTAACAAAACTGTGAAGGGAGAGGAGAGAACTGCCCCCCTGAGACTGACAGCTCACAGTGTGCTATCACAGTGTTTGTACAATCCAGGTCATGATGTGCTGTCCACTTATTCTGTGATTGCAGCTGATGACTGGTGATTGTAGGCACAGAGTCAGCTGTGAGCCACAGGCATGTGGTTGATGCTGCTGATATCCTGGAATTCTGCAGCCCCAGGCATGCTGGGTCCTGTGATTAGGGTGTAGCCAAACACTACACCTTTCTGATTTAAAGGAATATGGCAGCATGGATGGAAAATATTCAGCATGTATCTGGCCTTATCTAATAAGCCTGCAGCACAGAACAGGTGCTGCCCAGCAGTTTAGCCTCCTTCCCAACCCGTAGTTTGAAAGAATCCTCTGTGCTATGCTGTAGAGCACATCTGCTTCTTATCCTTGTCCAGGCTGGCTGAATACCTTGGTGGCCCCTGAGGGGAGGAAACTCAATTATCTAAATGCAATACTGATGGCTTCATAGAACAGAGCTCCTACTCAAGGAATAACCATTGATTTTCTTTCTAGCCCTTGGGATTGGACTGGTGGACAATGCTGTATCCTAGGCTTCCAGTATGACAAAGACCAGGGATAATAGAGGAAGAGTGGTGGCAATCAAAAAAACCTGCACCAAAGAGGCTCTCATTCCTCCCTGGGGTGCAAAAGATGGAGTGGAAAGGATGTAAGAGATTCAGAAAGTCTTCTGTAAGACTTAATCTTCTAGACATGCCAGGGAAACTGCACCCATGAAAGCTCAACAATATGGCTCTCCAAAGAAGACCTGAACAAGGACACCCACAGTTGTTCTCAACACGTGTGGGAGAAATCTCCTAGGGCCCAACCCCTAGATGAAGAGCTACAAGCAGTTGATGACTGCTGAGAGATGGAGAATTAGACTTCCCCAGGGATGAGATGCCTAATTGGTTATTCAACACCAAGTGGTCAGCCCTAGAAACGTGCAAGCAACACTAAACAAACTGAAGTGGTTGTATTTATACATTTACTTGTTTATATATGTCTACAAAACATAGAGGGGATACAGATAGTGGTAAGGATTAAGAAGGAAAGGGTGGGGAGATAGAGAAAATGGGGGGCAGATGTGAGGGTAAGAGGGTATTAAAAAGGATATGGTCTATCCACTAGGTGCTGTACCCTTAAATAAAATTGGCTCTCCCTCTCACAGCAACTATCAGTTGACATTATCTTCTGAGCTATGGTTGGGACTGCATGCCTACTCTTTCCATGTTGGGATTTTGTCTGGCTTGAGTCCTTATGTACAAGTGCCCCTCTGTGTCCAAAAAAAGACTGTTCCTTTATAGTCATCTACTGCCTTTGGATGTTAGAACCATTAATCCCTTAGTCCATAATGTAGGTAAATGGGAAGTTGTGACGGATCTAGAAGGAGTTAGGTGAGTGAATTAATGTGACTGTCATACAGTTTTATCATTAAAAAGTGATAAAAATGAGAAAGAGAAAAGAAGAAAAAGCTCTATATAAACCTACAGTCTTGTAAACAAACTTAAAAGTTGGAAGGGAGGTACCCTACATGGCTGGCAAAAGCTCTCCTGGAAGTGATGGGTTATAGAACAGTAACTCCAGGGCCAGGAGTAGGATTGCTCATGATTGGTTGATCAGGGAGCCCCTATGGACTCAAGAAACAACACAGGCTCTTGTCCTTGCTCTTGGTTGCCCAAAGAACTAGGTGATAACACTTGATTGCCAAAGGCATCACACATCATAGTCACATGATACAGAGCCATGGAGATGGAGCTGTGTTTGAAGCCTCCTTCTACCTGGTAGCTTTCATAGTGCCAGTAAATGCTATGCAGGCTGTTGGGGAGAAAAGTCTTACCCAGCTATGGATCCACCTATGATATTAACTAACGAATTCCTCCCAAGTGCCTGCCTTTAGGAGATTTCTATCAGGGTCCAGAACAGATGCTACAAGCGGCCAAGGATACTAATCTGAGGGATATCAAATGAATCTAAGCACACTGAGTTCTTTAGTCCATTCACTTTATTCTTCTAAGTCAATTCTATCTACCCAGTTTCAGCTCTGTCCTTATAATCAGTTCCTCTCTGTGCCCAGTTTTCCTGTCCTCATAGTTTTAGTAAGCTCTTATGCTTTTGATCTCGTCTTCTTCCTCTGTTTCATGGTCCTCCATCTATATCCTTCCTGGCTCCTTACCCCTGGCCCTGATAAACTCTACAAGAGATTTGCTTTACCCTCTACTCAACCTCTGTCTTCCTCTTTTCTCTGGCCATGCGGTTCTGTGTCCTCTGTTCCTGCCTTACCCTTCACTCTCCCTCTCCTCTCTCTGGCCATACAATTCTGGAATTCTGTCCCCCTCTGGAATTCTGCTCCAGTCCTTATTGCACCTGTGTATCTAGAGAGTTTTCTCTCTGGGTCCCACCAAGCCCCGGCAGTCGGATAGCCCACTTAGAAAATAAACACATAGACGCTTATATTATTTAAACTGTTTGGCCTAATGGCTCAGGCTTCTTGTTAACTGTTCTTATATCTTAAATTAACCCATTTCTGTTCATCTATACTTTTCCACGTGGCTCGTGGCTTACTGGTACATTACATCTTCCTTGTCATGGCGGCAGCTGGCAATGTCTCTCTCTCTGCCTTCCTGTTTTCTCAATTCTCCTCTCTGTTAGTCCCACTTATACTTCCTGCCTGGATACTTGCCAATCAGTGTTTTATTTATTAACCAATCAGAGCAACACATTTGACATACAGACCATCCCACAGCACACCTGGTTCTGTAAAATACCCTATAGTCCTCAATCAATCTCTCTGCCATGCCCCTAGGCATGAAGGAAGGGGATGGTTTGAGCTTCATTTGCCCAAGAAACAAAGCTATGCATCTAGGAGCCTGAAAGTGTCCTAGGCTCATCAGGGGAGTTAGTACCTAGTGGAACAGTGTTGAGAAGCTACCTGTTTGCTAAATGGTCTATAGCATTTGGGCACTCAAGAATTTCATAGCAGAAGACAGCTGAAATATTAAATACTGGATAACACCAACTACTCCATAATAAATGGCTTGCCTTTTGACAGACCCTTGGCTGGTCAAAGTATAGCTTTAATACACAGCTGAATCTCTATAATATATTCTTTCATCCCGCAAGAATCAACCTGCCAGTAAAGATGAGCAATAATGGCACAGATGGTATTCGGTAACCAACATGCTCTCTGATTGGATTGGAGGTCCACTCCACAGAAGGGATTCTATATGTGGTACCATAAACCCACTCCAAATCCCATGGCATGGAAGGTCATAGGGCCTGGGGGTGTGGTGTGTGTGTGTGTGTATGTGTGTGTGTGTGTGTGTGTGTGTGTGTGTGTGTGTGTGTGTGTGTGTATGCTTACTTCTGTTGTGTAGTCAAATTCACAAAGCTTGAACTACTTTCGAAATAAGAATGTTTATACTTATAGACAGTAAACACTCTTCTTGGCTTTAATCACAGAGTCTTCTCTTCAGCTGAACCACATTGAAGGCAGAGAAGAAGGAGCAGCACAAGGTGCTGAGAACAGCAATTGTTTAGTGCTCAGCACTAGATTAGACACTTTTGTGTCTTCTCCTAGGTTCAGGGAACATTGCCAAAGAGGGGATATAAAGATTGTCAGAGCTGGAAGATGGGGAGAAGCACTGCAAAATGGCATCTTCTGTGCAAGACAGTCACTGCAAGCAGGAACTTACAAGTCTGGATAACTGTGCTGGGTCTGCACAAGAATGGGCCCATCGATGCCAGGAAAGGATGGAGAGGAATTTAGGGGGCCCTGTCTCTCATTTCTGAATTGTTTTTTTTTTTTTGGATAAATTTGGGGGAAGGCAGAGTCAGTGATTTCAGCTCTGTGCCATTGGTGGCCTCTCAGGCTACAGTGAATACTCCCAATGCAATGGTCACACAGATGCATCAGATTAAATTGAGTAGGTCATACAATAAAGTCCTAAATCATGAACCCAGGAAAGGGACATGTAGGGGGGAGGAGGTGTTTATTGTGGTAGGAGGGAGATTAGAGGGGGTTGGGGAAGACATAACAAGAATGTATTATATACATGTGTGAAACCATCAAAGAACCAATTTAATAATAATAAAAAGTAGAAATAGTGAAAAATCACTCTCCAAATGGCTGGTTACAAAATATCAGATTCTGAAATGACTTGAAACTCTGTTCTCCAAGATGTTCTAGAGGAAGTCAGATCTGTCTGAGAGCTGGTAGGGTGAGGCTCCTGCAGAGAAAGGGACATGAGGGGGTATAAGGTGGGAGACAGAGATACATGGAGTGTCTTATAGCTACCCAGATATAGGAAGGTGGGGCCTCAGCAGAGAGTGCACTCATGGGATGAGGCTCAGACAGCCATGGTCCGTCCCTGCTTTATCCTACCCCTGCCTGGACTGTAATAGAACACTTACCTGGGCACAGATTGTGGAGATGGGGGAGGATCTGCAGTCGGGCTTCATGCCTGGGACCTTGAACCTGACAATCCCTTGGTTCTTGGAAGCTGAGGACTCCAGGCAGCAATGCTGAAAACAGGGCCAGTAGATACATCCGGGGCCACAGAGGCCGGTGCCATTCAGGGGCAGGATGGTGTCATTGTCACAGCACTGCTTGAAGGGGTTGTAAATCTGGTCCCCACATCTGGGTGCTGGCTGGCACAGCAACGGACCAGTATCTGGGATGAGTCACAGCTGGATGACCTACAGAGGACAGCCTAGGACCCCATCCACAGTCCATCCCCTCCCTCCTCACTGTGTGGTCCATTCTCACCTGTGGCTCCTGCTGAGTGCAGGAGTGAAGAAACCAGGACTGCCGCTGAGGAAGAGAAGGGAAGGAAGGATGATGTGCAAGGTGCAGCCTGGAGACCAGAAGATGGTGCCAGAGAGTCATTTGCGTCTAATAGCTCAGGGTGGATTTGACACTGATTTGAGTCCTGGGATGGGAATGACATGTGAGGAAATGCAGGGAGGGCTCCAGGAAGAGGGTGATTGAAAGTTACAGCCTTGAGGATTGCAACACAGTCAGAGGCTAGGAAGGATGCGTGGCGGGAGTGGGGGATGGAGTGTGGGGGTGGGGATGGGGGCTGTACCAGGGGTGGGGCTGGCCACAGAACAAGAAAGAAACACACGAATTTGATCTTCAGAGGTAAAAGATGGGTGTCACGACACCTCTGTCCCCTTGGCCTAATGTCTCCTTACCTACAATCCCAGACACCATGGTTCTGTTTCTGCTGCCGAAGAGCAGGAGGTGGCGAAGCAGGAGCAGTAGTAAAGATTCTGGGACCTTGAGCTGTCATTTATACACCAAGGCAGGGGTGGGGCAGGAAGGTTAGCAGACTGTGGATGGGAATTACGGAAACAGCTCAGTAGCCTGCTCCAGTATCTCTTTCAATGTGAAAGATTCTCTAGGAACTTCTAGTGTTCTGACTCAAGAGAGCTTCTTTTGGAACGCAAGTGAGGAGAATACTATCAGAAGAGATAGTCCCTAGCCGGTATGAAGTCTGCCTGCCAAATACTGGCGGTCTCTAGGCTTCTCATGCTCAACACCTTGGAAGCTTTAAGGGCTCTCCCCACCCTCATGTCAGTCCAGCCCTGAATTCCCTCGTTTCAGGAAAGACCCCCGGGCCTCACAGTATGGATGGAAGGAAACACAGGACTTCTGTGGGCTTGCTTGTTTGTTTTGCCTGGCTACTTGTGCCAAGAACGGCTTTACCACGTGATGTACTGTTATTTTATCATCTCCATCATCATCGTGTGTGATGAAAATTTAGTTTTGACACTAACAGTGTGTCTCTTGCTCCTCTTTGTCTCCCTGTGCGCTACAGTAAAACCTGAAGAGGCTGAAGGACCATGACAGAGCTTCAAAGCCAGGGTGTCCAACCTTCTGATGCTTTCGGAAGAAGAACTCTCCTGGGCCACACATTCAATCCAAAAACACTAATGGAAGCTGATAAGAATGAAAATGTATGTCAAAAAGACCCACATAAATAATTCCAACTATGTAAAACAGGGGGAGAGTGGTTTACAACCTTCAAGCAGGTCCCAAGACTTAATAAAATCTAAGTAGTATAACTTGATTTGTTGTTTCGATAGTTTGTTTAGAAAAGTAAAAGAAAGGGGGCAACACAAACCAGCGGGAGGTTTGACTCTGCATTTGAGAAGTGAATGAATGCATTGGTACTCAGGGAATTCCCGGGGAGCTCCTCATAGATTGGGTTGTGGTTTCACTCTCCTGTGCTTCCTTCTTGCAACATTTACTTAGGCAGGTCAGTGCTGCCCTGAAGCAATGATGTGAATGAGGTGTGGGTGTGAGACAGGTGTATTTATGTCTGAAAGATCAGACCTATGAGTCTTGAAGAGACATGAGCAAAGTTTTCTTGAAGTCGATGTCATATTGCAGCTTTCTGCATTCCACTTCAAGATCAGAAGGAAACATGCATGTGTCAATAGAAATGGAATCAGAAGTACATCAAAGTACTATTGCCCCTAAAATCTTTAAATCTGTTTTCAAATTTTTGCATCAAATCAAGAACTAGACTACAGATTTTTCACTGTGCATGAGAGATGTTTAGTCCAATTTTAACAGAATGCTCAAAATTGTTTGCCTTACTTTTAACATTAATAATTTAAGTTTTTAGAATGCTGGTATGATTTCAAACATTGGGTTGATAAGATGGTTTTTACCTTGAAGATGCAAGTTTGACTCATTTAAATGAGCAGTTATAACCTCTAAAAATGCCAAAGGTGTAAGCTAGAGCTTTAATCATGTTCTAGAACAAGTTTTGTTTTTGATGCCATGACTGACTTGATAACACATCAAAAATCATAAAAACTTTGTAACATTCAGCTTCGACTAAGCCATTTAATTTCCAGAAGGTAAATGTCCAGAAGGTAAATAAAGTACCCACGCTTTAAAGACATTCTTTGAATAAGCAGTTGTGATGGTTAGGACCTGAGTTTGATCATCAGGACCCACATGGTGAAAGGAGAAAACCAACTCTTGCAAATTGCACTCTGTTCACATGCATACATAAAGAAGTACATAAGGAAATGGAATTAAAACGCTTTAAATAGTCAAAAGAACTTTGTTGGGTACTTGCATTCATGAGCACATAGGCCTGCACAAAATTTAGTAATAAAATAAAATAACCAAGAGAATCAGTTTGCCCAGGAATGACAGGAAAAAATTACATTGGGAGACCACAAACATAATACGCTGTTTCCTTTTGATGAGCACTTGTCGAACTTCCACTGACAGACCAGGTTTGGAGGACAGTTAAAGTACAGGCAAATGTCACTTCCAAGTCCTCTGCAAGAAGTGTAAATCCTTCTTCCAAGAAAAGATTCCCTTTTTCAGTCTGAAGGGCTTTGAATTTGCAACATATCCCTTCAGGTTGAGGAATTGGAACACTGTACCCTGCATTCTGGGAAATGAGAGCATTGTCTGTGGAAGGATGCCTGTTTTTAGAGTGCTCAGAAAACATGTCCTGGGATATAATTTCATTAGGCAGGTCCCTGTAGGTATTCAGACAGGGCAGCGAACTGTGCAAAGAGATAAGAATGAAAATCCAGTGCAGCTTGACTTTGTCAACTTGGATTAGATTTCATGGAGTCTGGCATGAAATATCAGGCAGTTTGCTGCAAGCTGCAGGAAAACGTAATGGAATTCAGCTACTATCGCAAAAGCTGCTACTTGGAAAAGTCAAGGACTTCTCCAAAGGTCAAGACATGGCTTAAGAAGTCTTGGTGATATATATATATATATGCTGGTTCCTAAACTGATTTTCTTGTGTGCTTCCAAGAACTCCTAACAGTGTATTTATCTAAAATACCTATCAAGCATCCAAGGCCAAACAAAACAACACCTGTCTCCTAGGTCAGGCAGATGGCTTTATTTCTTGTGCAATTTAGGGTGAGACCCTCCTTTCTTATACAACCTTACTAATAGACCCCTAACTTCTTACCTAACCACTTCTGGAAATGTAGACTGAGCACATAGATCCCCTTTTTGATATACTAACAGTCATTAGCACTCAGTTGACCTCCTCTTTTATCACTCCCATTTTGGGTTGTAAAAGAAGGCCTGACAGTCACTACCTGAGGAAAATTCTTACCTACCTTTTTGACCCCATAGAATTCAAGCCTGGTGACCTTGCTAGGCCAGAGGATTGCTATTGCTTGGGTTTATAACTGGATTCCAGAGAGACTTAGAGAGAAAGGAGAGAATAAGGAGACGGAGAAGAGAAAAGAGAATGGAAGAACTAGATGGGTAAGAACTTGACAGGAACAAACTGAGATGGGCAAGAACTAGATTGAAGGAGAAGAGAGGACTAGAGGAACGAGATGGAAGATGAGGAAGAGCCAGATGGGGAAGAACAAGATAAGGAAGAAGATGGAAGAGGAGCTAAGATGGGAAAGAACTAGGTGGATGAGAACCTAGATGGGGCAGAACTAAGGTGAGAGAATTAAGATAACACTTAGAGGGGACAGCAGATTAATGTAGGGAGAAATCAGGCAAGAAAGGAGCTAGGCATGAGAACAGAATAGAAGCTGTGTAGAGAGAGAACTGACTCAGAAGAATAAAATGTGTGGACTAAGGAGTTTCGTGCACATAGATTCATTTCTTTTCATCAAAGATTTAATTACCAGGTGGTTGTAGATTCTTTTCAGACCTTGGGAGGGGACTATGGAGGGGCTGGACCCCCATAGCGCCCGATAGCAGTTTATTGTCGGCATGCTTAAATATGATGGAATTTGGGAAAAGGTCTCCAGGCAATAATAATTCCAATTCCGGCTGTGCAATAAAGCATAAGGTGTGACTACACAGAACTTCCTTTAGAAAGTACATGTTACCATGAGGGTGTGTTCTATAGCTAAAAGGCCTACAATCCAATGTGGCCTCTGATTGATAACATAAAAGTCAGCAGGCCATAAAGTACTTGTGACATGTCCCCTAAGGATGGGTAATGGCCTAGGGAGGGAAGAGTCTGGGATAATCATTCTGGGGAATTAGGGTGAGGTCTGCCCCCACAGATACCAAAAAGTTCACTAGGTCTTTAATAAAATCTATTCTCAGGTTTCTGTTTGAAATGCAGCTATTTGGTTTTATCACCTCCATGGAGGAGACACCCCTGCATGGCTAACATTACTGGCTCTCATAGTGCTTCTCTGTGAGTACAAGGCCCTCCTGCCCTCTACAATTTCATACACCAAGCATATAAGTGATAGTTGGTGGGCTGTTCTCATAAACACCAACTTTTTTTTTTTTTTTTTAACAGATCCTGCCTCAAGTTTATTTGTAAAAACAGCATGGGGTCCTGATCATCTGCAAATAGTGTGTAGGTGTGTCACACCAGTCCATCTGTCTGGCAGACAGAAACCTTTCTGTGGGGCCTTCACAGGGGCCTGGGCACCTTTGGGAGCCTGAGCAGGAGCTGAGGCCTCTGCCTTGGTTTGAGCCTTGGGCTTTGGCTGGCAGAGCCTACGACCCTTGGCCATGTAGCTTCTAATCCGCTTCCCGAGCTTGGGGTGAGCGATGAAAGCGAGATGGCTGAGCTTGCGGCTGGGGCCCTTTGGCATCTTGGGCTTAACCGCCTTGGGCTTCACAAGGGCCTTGATGGCCTCTGCAAGCGCACTCACTGCCTTTGCGTTGTTGGCCTGCATCTTCTTCAGGCCTTTCCTGTTGTGCTTCTTGGCAAAGCGCATGTTCCTCAGGAACTTGGGGTCCACCCCCGTAAGAGATTCGTATCTTTGTGACCGGGGTTTCTTGATACCATTTCTGTGCCATTTTCGAGATTGGTTGTCTGTGGTGTGGTTCTTGGACTTGGCCATGTCGGAACGGTAACCGGCGGCTCCCGAAGCGCCTGGGACCGAACACCAACTTTTGAACATATTTGTCCACGATTAGAACTTTAGGCTATTTCTATTTAGAAGACACAAAGTGAGGGCTCTTTGGACACTGCTTTTGTTCCCTCCTGTTTCTTGTGTATGTTTTATCTGCTTGTCCTTTTAAAATGACAACTATAAAACGTATCTTCAATTTACTGAGTATTGCATCCATTCTAGCGTGTGTGAAGCATTCTTTTGTGAATAGAGGTATACATAGACTAGACAGACTGAGCTTTGTGGCTTGAAATGTCAGGGAGACACCATCTGAATGATAAACAATGTGTTCCACTTGGTACTTTGTTTCTGTTCTTCTTGTCTCTTGTCTCAAATGTGGATTTATTTGCCATGGTTTGTGTTGAGCACAACACCGTCTTCTGTTATGGGGACCCCACCAGAGATGACCACTCAGACGCAGTTGACAGTCAATTGAAAGTCTTTATTCCAGCTGTCTGGGACTACATTCAGGTATTTGGGACCCAAGAGTAGCACTGAGTGTTTAGGGTAAGAGGTTTTTTAAAGGCAAACACCACACACACCCTGCTGTCTTCTCACTTGGCAGCTGGTCTGGCAAGTTCTGATTATGCAGGCAGTTTAATAGACACTAAGTTAGCCGGGGCATCTTGATGTTTGGTGCCTGGAGTAGAACTGGGTGATTTTTCATAGGGATTTACACCAGGGAAATCACATTCCTGTTAAACTTGAAATGACGTCAGCAAGAATACAAGATGGGGGAGGGGGACCTCTGCACCATCTTGCCCTGCCACACTTTGCTAATTTTCTCCTGATGACGAGTTTCTTGGACCCGACTCCTACAACTGTGTTTCCACCTTTTGCTCCCTCTCTTTTTAAATTCTGGGAGAGGGAGGCATCACCTCAATCAGAAAGCTGATTTCTTGGTTCCTGGATGGAATATGGAGGTAAAAAATGAAGTTCATCTACTGTAGGTATTAGTAGTCTGACCCTCCCCTTGGGGACCCGCTGGGTGTCCTCCTGATGCCATCCTGCGTTCCCTTTAAGAAGGAAATTCCTCCCCCTTTGCTGTCCTCTTCGTTCCTTTCTCCCCCGCGATGAGGCGCGCACACCTCCGCTTTCCCTCCCTTCTTTCTTTCTGTCCCCCTCTTTCCCTGTCTTTCTCTTCACCTCCCTATTATAATAAACCCTCTTTCCACGTGGATGCAGTGCCTGGGGTTTGGGTGACTTTCCATGAGCCACAGCTTGCCACAGCGTCTGCATGGCATGCTTTCCTCACGCCTGGGACACCGTGGCTTGGCCAGCCAGGGCCTCCCGTGCACCATATCATTACAGTCGATGTACTTTTCTGTCCCGCCAGCCCACTCCCAAATTAGCACATAGAGACTTATTGTAAGTGCTTGGCCCATAGCTCACTCTTGTTACTAACTAGGTCTTTCAACTTAAATTAACTCATATTTCTTATCTATCCTTTACCATGTGGCGATACCTTTTTTCAGCACTGGCATGTTCATCTCCTGCTTCCTCTGCATCTGTCTAGTGACTCCTCCCTTCTTCATCTCTGCCCCTTTCTTCTTGTCCACAAGTCCTGCCTAACTAACCTCTACCTGCCTAGCTATTGACCATTTAGCCTTTATTAAACTAATGAGAGCAGCAAATAGTCAAAGTGTACATAAAGCTTTTCCGCAGGAATGTACAATAGTGTAATGATCATTAATTGAGCAAGATGGGTCTCTGGGCTGTTAACTTTTTTTTGCAGCAAGATACTACTTAGGCAATGCTGGAACTAATGCAAACAATAATGACCTTCCTTTTGTCCTTTAGGTTTTTAAAATGTGTGTTGGCTTTTTCACTCCAATGCAATGCCTGAGAGGATGAGGAAGAAGTTACTTTTTTTGATGATACAGTTTTAAAAACCACCTGGAATGGTCCCTATTCCTTTATCTGAACCAAGCCCCCCTTTCCTCACACATAGGATTATGATAATTGTGGGGTGTCAACCAGAGAAGACCCCGGGTGAAACTCCTCTTCATTTGCAGAAGCCTGAGGAGCTTGAACGTCCTGATAGTGTTCTGGACAGAAAAAGCCTGTTTGTTTACTTGTGAATTATGCCCACTACAGCAGGGGATCTGACAGTGGAGAAAAGGACAGGCATTGTCGAAAATGGCTGTGCAGATTCCGGAAATGGCTGTGCAGATTCCGGAGCCCTGGCAGGATGTAAAGAGCCCTGCTCCTCTGATCAGCCTGAGACCAGCCCCTGCCTTGCAGGGGATCCCCGCAGAGCAGAACAGATGGCCCTGAGACTGCAGGAGGGACGAAGGTGTCTGTGGGGTGAGGGTGGGGATAGGAAGGTGATGTGTAGGCTCAAGACTCTGACAACTTCACAATGACAAAGATTTAAATTGTTTCCCACCTTCAAGCAGTTTCTGTTTTCACTCCTCCCTTAGCTTCATTCCTGCACATGGGTTTATACAGTTAAAATCATGAGGCTTATCTGGTTGATGAGGCACCCGCCCCGCGCTGGCACCATCTAAGTGGAGCAGCCACTGCCCTGCTGACCCACCACCCAGGGCAGCTCTGCTGACTGGAATGTGGACTTTGCCCACCTTCTCATATTCAAGCACGTTTTCTCTTAACTGCCTTCCCGAGTCAGACCCGCCCTCTGGCTCTGTGACAGGGGAAAAGAACAAAACAGCTTGAAAGATATTTGCAAGAGACGAAAACTAAACCTGAGCAGGATCATTTCTTAGGGAGACTTAAACGGTTACTCTGATCTCTTTACCCTCTTCTCCAATCACACTCCCGACTCCCTATGGGCTCAGATTCCTTGAACTAAAAAGATGCTTATTTTGTGATTTTAATGTTTTGTTAATTGTTCTTACATATTACGTAACACTAGCACACCAAGAAAGAGCAAACACTTTGAGACTGACCGATTTCAGCAGAAAATTAGAGGACAATGACAGCTGCTGCCACTGAAGAGCCGCTGAGGTCGCTCTGCTGGGTCTTAATGTCTCAGGAGGTGATTGCTCCCACTACAGGACATTAGTAGCTGTCACCAGTGTTTTTGGTCTTAGCCATTCTGACAGGTGTAAGATGGTGTCTCAGAGTCTCTTTGATTTACATTTCCCTAATGACTAAGGATGTTGAACAATTCTTTAAATGTCTTTCAGCCATTTCAGATTCTTCTGTTGAGAATTCTCTGTCTAGCTCTGTAGCCCATTTTTAATTGGATTATTTGATATTTTGATGTCTAGTTTCTTGAATTCTTTATATATTTTGGAGATCAGCCCTTTGTCAGATGCGGAGATGGTGAAGATCTTTTCCCATGCTGTAGACTGCCATTTTGTCTTATTTACTGTGTCCTTTGCCTTACAGAAGCTTCTCAGTTTCAGGAGGTCCCATTTATTAATTATTTCTTTCAGTGTCTGTGCTGCTGGTGTTATATTTAGGAAGTGGTCTCCTATGCCAATGAATTCTAGGTGACTTCCTACTTTCTCCTCTGTCAGGTTCAGTGTAGCCGGATTTATGCTGAGGTCTTTGATCCACTTGGACTTGAGTTTTGTGCATGGTGATAAATATGGATCTATTTGCATTCTTCTACATGTAGACATCCAGTTATGCCAGCACCATTTGTTGAAGATGCTTTCTTTTTTCCATTGTACAGTTTTGGCTTCTTTGTCAAAATTAGGTGTTTATAGGTGTGTGGGTTAATGTCAGGATCTTCAGTTTGATTCCATTGGTCCACATGTCGGTTTTTATGCCAGAACCAAGTTGTTTTTATTACTCTAGCTCTATAGTACAGTTTGAGGTCAGGGATGGTGATGCCTCCAGAAGTTGCTTTATTGTACAGAATTGTTTTAGATATTCTGGATTTTTTTTTTCCACATGAAGTTAAGTATTGTTCTTTTGAGGTCTGTGAAGAATTATGTTGGGATTTTGATGGGGATTGCATTGAATCTGTAGGTTGCTTTTGGTAAGATTGCCATTTTTTACTATGTTGGTAATATTTATCCATGAGCATGGGAGATATTTCCATTTTCTGATAGTTTCTTCAATTCCTTTCTTCAAAGACTTAAAGTTTTTGTTATACAGGTCTTTCATTTGTTTGGTTAGAGCTACCCCAAGGTATTTTATATCATTTGTGGCTATTGTAAAGAGTGATGTTTCTCTGATTTCTTTCTCAGCCTATTTATCGTTTGTATATAGGAGAGCCACTGACTTTTTTGAATTAATGTTGTATCCTGCCACATAACTGAAGGTGTTTATCAGCTGTAGGATTTCCTGGTAGAATTTTTGGGGTCATTTATGTAGACTATCATGTCATCTGCAAATAGTGAAAGTTTGACTTCTTCCTTTCCAATTTGTATCCCCTTGATCTTCTTTTGTTGTCTTATTGCTCTGGCTAGAACTTCAAGTACTATATTGAATAGATATGGAGAGAGTGGACAGCCTTGTCTTGTTCCTGATTTTAGTGGGAGCACTTTGAGTTTCTCTCCATTTTTAATTTAATATTGGCTGTTAGCTTGGTGTAAATTGCCTTTATTATGTTTAGGTATGTTCCTTGTATTCCTAATCTTTACACAACCTTTATCACGAAGCAGTGTTGGATTTTGTTGAAGGAATTTTCAGCATCCAATGAGATGATTATGTGTTTTTTTTCTTTATGTTTGTTTATATGGTGTATTACATTGACAGATTTTCATATGTTGCACCATCCCTGCATCTCTGGGATAATGCCTATTTGGTCATGGTGGATAATTTTTTTGATGTGTTCTTGGATTTGGTTTGCCAGTATTTTATTGAGTAGTTTTACATCATTATTCATTAGGGAAATTGGTCTGTAATTCTCTTTCTGTGTTGCATCTTTGTGTGGTTTGGGTATCAGGGTAACTGTAGTCTCATAAAAAGTGTTTGGCAATGTTCCTTCTATTTCTATTGTGTGGAGTAATTTGAGGAGTATTGGTGTTAGCTCTTTTTTGGAATTCTGGTAGAATTTTGTGCTGAAACCATCTAGTCCTGGGCTTTTTATGGTTGAGAGATTTTTAATGACTGCTTCTATTTCCTTCGGGGTTATAGGTCTATTTAAATTGCTTATCTGGTCTTGATTTAATTTTGTTATTTGGTACCTATTGAGAAAATTGTCCATTTCTTTTAGATTTTCCAATTTTGTGGAGTACAGGTTTTTGAAGTATGACTTGATGAGTCTATGGATTTCCTCAGTGTCTGTGTCATATCTCCCTTTCTGTTTCTGATTCTGTTAATTTGGAAATTCTCTCTCTGTCATTTTGGTTAGTTTGGATAAGGGCGTGTCTATCTTGTTGATTTTCTCAAAGAACCAACTCTTTGTTTCATTGATTCTTTGTATTGTTCTCTTTGTTTACATTTTATTGATTTCAGCCCTCAGTTTGAATATTTCCTGGTGTCTATTCCTCCTGGGTGAGTTTGCTTCTTCTTGTTCTAGAGCTTTCAGGTATTCTGTTAAATCATTAGTGTGAGATTTCCCCATATTATGTAGGCACTTAGTGCTGTGAAATTTCCTCTTAGCACTGCTTTCACAGTGTCCTATGAGTTTGGGTATGTTGTACATTCATTTTAGTTGAATTCTAGGAAGTCCTTAATTTCTTTTTTTATTTCTTCCTTGACCCAGTGGTGATTCAGTTGAGCATTATTCAGTTTCCATGAGTTTGCAGGCTTTCTGTAATTTATGTTGTTGAATTCTAACTTTAAGCCATGGTGATCTGATAAAATACAGGGGTTTTTTTTTTTTTTTTTTTTTTTTTGGTATCTGTTGAGATTTGCTTTGTGACCAAGTATGTGGTCAATTTTAGAGAAGGTTCCATAGGTGCTGAGAAGAAGGTATATTCTTTTGTGTTTGGGTGGAATGTTCTGTAGATGTCTATTAAGTCCACTTGAGTCATAACATATGTTAGTTCCCTTATTTCTCTGTGTTTTTGTCAGTCTGATCGACAGGTAGGGTGGAGGCAGGTGTGGGCCAGCTGGTCTCTCCCTGGGGCTGAGCGGTATGATGAGTGTCGAGCAACCCCCCTCCCTTCCGGTT